TATACCTGATAATATAGATACGCAATACTGAAAAACACTGTTTTAGAAATAACAAATTTGTGCCTTTAATATTGGCTCCTGTAATTTATATTGAAGATTAAAATATCAGCTTATCATCACCCAAATTATATCATAAAGACCTACTAATGTTATGCCTGTACAACCAGGGTGGGGGTGGGGTGGGTCTCTTTCCAGAAATTCAATGCAAAGGTGGGCTAGTCGACCTGTTTCTGTTTATATATTCTATCAATTTATAGAACTTAACATCTAAATTTCAAGAATCTCTGTTCAAATGCCAGTCAGTTAATCCCACTGCCCTCTTTAAATATTGATTGAAAATAGCAAAAAATGATTCAGTTCTCTCATAAGCACAATTATCACCAGACATGACCAATTTGCTCCAAATATCCCCATATTTAGGTCAGATGTAGGTCCTATTTTGGAAGGTCTGGTGGCCTTTACAACCACATGACTGATGCCAAGGAATTAAAAGCTGATTCTAGTAGCTGTCATGACATAGCAGAATATGGAAAATAGTACTTTAAGTATTATTTATTATACATTTGATTAGACACTCAAGTTTCTCTGAAGTTTCTTTGTCTTATAAAATTCCAAGTTCCAAACCACTCATTGTCGCTTTGTTGTCCCATCATGAAAAAATATTAAATATGATCTACATTTAGATCTACATGTAAAGTTAATAATCAGTCAATGAAAATGAGGAAGTAAGAAATGTTTGATCTATATCTTATTACTTTGACACAATGACTGAATTATGTCATAATAACCTGCATCCTGAAGATTGACAACTTCCTGAAATTAAACTCTAAGTCAAGCAATGTCTGTGATTGTTATTTTTTATATATGTTGTCTAAGAACACAGATTACATCAGAAATGTTTTAGGAACCTTGTCTAACAATGCCATCATCTTCCGGTGTCCACATATTAATTAGCAGTTTATAATTTGGTAAATGAGACATTCTATTGTGCACAGATTATATACTGGTCGATGTGGGTGTATGTGTGTGTGTAAAATATAAGTGGTCTAATGCATGCACTTCAAATCATCAAGCCTGTCATTGTACATAGGGTCGCCTACCTAAGAACTACTAAAGATCTGTACTTGCAAGTGAGTTACCGGAATAAAAATTACCATATTTTAGTCTCAAAATTACTGAGTTTGGGTTGCATGGTGATTGAACACCATTTCTCTCTCTTTATACTGCTTGACAGTAGGTATCTATCGAATTGCATACACTGGTCACGTGATGAATAGATTTCAGGCACGTGTGTTTTAACATCGACCTAGATTTTGTTTCACTTTTAGACCCCACCAACTTGTTTTATTCAATAGATTGTCTGTATATAAAGTATAATATTTCTAAATATTGTGTGTTAAAATAAATTGTTTTCTAGAATCATACTTAGAGTTTAACTTCAAAGAACTTATCTAAGGAGCTTCACTAGATTGTTATTCTCTTTATTAAATTCACTGAAATCTAATAGGTTCTAGGTGCTTGATTTATTTCAACAATTAAAAATCACAATTCCATATTATATCTAAATAACCATAGACTCAATTGATAATATAACAAAAGCTTTTGAAAAAAAATTATTGGAGCTTTATGTTAATCCATCAGAAAGTAATCTGAAAACCTTAAAACGGCTATACTTTGTGATTGACAAACAAAAGTTTGTATTCCATCAATACCATAAAGGAAATTAATCTTTACATTCAGGTTTTTAAAGAAATAAAGACTTTTCTAATTGTATTCCCTCATCACCCACAAAAAAATGATGGATTAGTCTTTCCAATATAAATGTCTATATATATAAATGTCTATATATATATATATATATCTGTACACCCCCTCAGGTTCTATTAAGAGAAGTTATCAAGTTTGGTCGGCTGCCTGCTGTGTTAACTCCTTTTTAAATACGACCTATAATAGCACTACATGTATCTCAATTCAGTTTAACAAAATTACAATTATTCAAAACACACATAAAGTATAGAAAAGAAAAATCTAGCTTCTGGCAATATGCCTAATTAGAAAATATGTGTGTGGGGTGTTCTAAGTTAAAAATCTCATCTGTAAAATGAATAATTTTCTCCATTCATGCCTACTGCGACAAGTCTGTCAGCATGTCATTTAAAAATTAGAGTGATGAAAACCGATTGTATTATACTGCTTGAAAAATGACATACACACAATCCTGTACATTGTCAAATCTTTTCACTATATGTTGAAGTTAAAAATCAAACCTGCTGTTTTCCTCAACATTATGACAAAAGAACATATCATGTGTTCAGTGATGGTGATTTATGTAATGTCCATCATTTTCTGAGGTAACTTACATAATGTATGTGATAATATAGCTTCAATGAATAAACTCTATTCATTATATAATCTATTACATATATTTATTATGTGTGTCATTATATCAAATGAACACATGTCTGAGAAATTAAGTTAAATTTCCATCTGTTATTTGTTGATATAAAAGTTCTATTATTTTGATGAAACACAGTACAGAGAAATTAAATATGAAAGATGTAAATTGTTCAATTTAAGTTGATTTAAATGTATACAAATGGCACTGTAGGCGTAGTGTAGTTAATCTTTGTTAAAAACAAATAAACATTTATTATCAATGAGAAGAAAATGTTAACAGTTTCCTTGAAGCTATATGTGTGCATAACATAATTTCCATTTTAAAAGTACAGCTTCCCTTGCATTTTATCTAAATTACAAACCAATTTTCTAAAATCATCCAGAAATAATTTATAGGAAAAACAGAGATTAAGCAAGTTTACAGAACATGATCAACTTTTGTTAACTCTTTTTAAATTTAATATGCAGCCCACACGATTGTTGTACCGTATCTGAATTCCCTTGTAACAAGACAGAATTATGAGCAAAGTTTATTAAAAGTGTAGGCATAAGCGAAAAGGAAAAATAGCAATGAAGCTGAACTTGATTAAATCATCACCTTTGTTCTACTTTTAGCTTTACTCCCACAAGCCAAATGTCTATCTTGGCCGCAAAATCTTTGGCAAACGTTCAAAACCAACAATCTATATAAAGTATGTACATATGTTGAACTGAAATTCAGGATCATGATACATCTTTATAATAAGGTTAAAAATTAGGGATAGAATCAAATAACTTTAGTTCTAACCCAGGTTTGTTCTTACGTCATCACTGGCCCAATTCAGACTTGTACACAGACATTTGCACGTAGTAATAGCAAAAAATTATACAAACGCAAGATGTTCAATAAACCAGAATCGTTATAGAGTACAACCAACACATACATGTATTTTGAACCGAAATACAATTTCAAACCCCATGTTTAGTCGTCCTGCAGTGCAGGCATATAAAAGACACCGTCTTTTTTCAGCACTAATGAACTTCTCCATAAAAAAAAGTTAATTGCTCATATATTACTGTGTTTTAATTAATTCTTTGGATGTTTTTTCATGAGAAAAAGTTAATACCCCATAAACCAGGAAGTGTCCTATGTATTAGCTGTATCAGTGTTTTCAAGTATTTGAGTGTAAAGAAATCATAAATATGCATATCTAATTTTTTAGTACAATAACCTTATAGCTGTACAAGTACCAAACCACAGCTATGGTTAAGCCTGAAGGCATTCAAATTTTACCCTGCTGATTTTATTATCAAATTATTTTGGCATTCATGTGATATGGGGGTGTTTGTTGAGGGCACTTATAGAAATATGTGTCTTATGATTATAAATACACTAGCCTACGTTTGTGTACGTCAGACTATAAAAAAGGAAACACATAACTGAACTCCGCTTAACTTTTTAGTTTAGGTATAAGCTATGTAATTGTATAGACTCGACTATGTATGTAGGAGGTGTGATCTAGTTTTGGAGACCTAATTCTAAAGTTCATAAGGTCAATATTCAATAGACAAATCACTAAGTTACAACACAAATACATATTAAGCTCTAAGTTATAAGTTAAATACAGCTCCATACCAACTTTTGCAAAAAAAAATCTATTATTTAACTTTAAATTAATGTTAATCCATTTGTAAGGCACCTGACTAAAGTCATCCAAAAATACTTTCAGAATTAATGTAAAAGTGCAATAACCATAAAAATTAATGAAAATCCTTTAAAGATGTCTATTAATAAAGTTCAAGCCTCTTTCTTACTAGTCAGATAACTGGTCCTGATACCGTATACCCAGGCATGGATTGACGTCATTACTTTTATAGTAGGCTTACGGTATATATGTGTACCGACCACAATCCTTCACCATATTTTTGCAACTGCACCCAGCACTGTTGAACAAGATGAACCTAGCCACATCGTTATTAAGTGTAAAACAATCAAAAGTTGAAAGACGTACTCAAAGCAGCTTAATTATTGACTAATGATTTTTTTTTTAATTACGCCTCCATCCCATCACTCACTATACTTACAAGACTCACAGCGTACTACGAATAGTACAACTCTGAAGAATGACTCACGAAAATTGCTTTATGCATCTAAAGCGACATTCAAATCAATCTATATTGATGATTAATGCCTGGTATACGTGGTCATAAACCAGCATCCTGTAAAATGGGTTGCATGTGCCCATAGTTTCTTTGTTTCAAACCTTTTTGCTCTTAAATTCTTTTTGACACAGATGTCGACCGCTTCATAGTAACAAGCGTAGAATGCGTCGTCTGCTAGATTTGTACGCGCAGTATGCTAGAGTGAATAGCCGCCACAATTGCTAGGTACTCGAAATGAAAAGTTTTAAATTCATGTATATCCACATTCTTAAATAGACTTAGCAATATTAATATACACGACATCCGTGTATAAATTTACAACAAATGTTTTAGCTCTTAAATTCACGACAGCAATGCAGATAACCCGAGCAGGCGAGGTCAATAGTGCAAACCGCGACATGGCCTACTCATTCATTCATTCATCCATCCATTTCTTCATTCGCTTAGAAATTGTAACTTACTTGTTTTTGTGAAGCAGTGAAATTTTCTCCGGCACAATTTTTAGTTTTCTTGCAATTAACCATTTTAGACCTTGAATTGTCTCGTTTCCTGAAACTTTCAGTTCAATTTGTCCACCGGTAGTGGGACACACAAAAACTCTTAATTTGTCCGAATGAGAAGTTCCTCGAGTTGGTATGTTCAGTCGGTCATACGATATCTTTTCTTCTGACATGTTTCAAATCTATATTTCCAAGGACAAAATTCCAAAAACTAATTTGCGATAATATTTGGCGAGGTTTAGGGCAATCACTAAATAACTCCTAGCAAGTGACGACCTCCCCCACCCTATCCTTCGATAATTGTGGCGTCAGTACGCGAACCTCTAGCGAAGACCATCTTCGATATGGACGACTTATTGGCCAATGAAATAGCTCGATTTGGACGAATCCATTATTTGTGTGGGAAGTTTAGTATACATGTACATCGTTATTTGTATACCCATACAGTGTTAGGTGACGTTATCACTAAGCAAAGTTGATTGCGACTTTCTACGCAGTAAAAGTTTTGAGGTAATTGGGGTGAGGCACGGGCTTACCCCTTTAACTCGAGGGAAAGGGAGGGTGTTAAGTATTCCGAACATAGTTGCAATCTGTGAATGGGTCACAAATTGTTATTGATATGCAACGGGTCGATTCAGAGTAACTTGTTTTTAGAGGGGAATAAATTAAATATTTCACAGTTATTCACATATTTTTCACGAGATAACAAAATAATATCCACATGTATGAAACATGATCGATGAAATAGAAATATGCAATTATATATTCCATCGTTAAGGGGGTTGTTCCTCGGTGAAAGGGATTTGGTATTGATCTTTGATTTTGGAAGTTATATTATTAATGCTTATATAGAAAGTATATCAAAATAAATGAAACAGCTTTTAAAATTTACATGAGATTGGCGTACATTCAACACTGACTTAAAAAAAATGTATTCACCCAGTAAGTCTTCTCCGTTTTTATTGGTATATATGTATTTTGCTGTTAGTCACTTTTTTTAATTTTTTTTTTTTTTTTTTTTTTTTGATAAGAGATATTTTTTGTAAACTTCGCCCTATAATTACATGTACATACGTGTACTTCAGTGAACATAATATGAAGAGCCCTGAAAAACATACCGATACTTATCATAATCCCGATCAAACAGTCTCTCGTTAACAACCCATCCATGCAGGACCTTATATCCCTCGGGTATTTTCAAAACTGCGTAATTGATTTGTGAGGTGAATTGAGTATTGTGTTTTTGTAAACTGAACTAATATATTGGTATAAATGAATTTTACATTGATTAATCAAACCAAAGAATGGTGTTTGTACGACTGTAAGTTGTAAAGGAACCCGTAGGTATACAATAATTTATATAGTGATTCTTCGACGGATTTCCAAGAAAATTTGTTTCAAACTTAATTTAATTGTTCATGGTTAATGATATATATAATAGCGTTCACTATCCGATGTTTCATTCATTAATCCCGCGAGTATAAAATTCCATCTTCTTGCCTTAAACCGCGTCTTTCCAACTGTGAATAGTACCCGAACTCAAATTGTAGCCAGCGGCATGGTAGATTAACGTAGTGGCTAATTATGTAAAATTCGAGATCTTGGCGTGGTCACCTGCTTATCGTACGGAATTAATTAACGCGTTGACCATCAGTTCTGACACACAACAAGCGCTCCGTGAACAACGACCATTCCAAGCCACGCCGATTGTAGCGTCGCTTTAAATCACCCAAAGCTTGATTTGTGGGGATTAACAATCCTTATTTTGGTTGGTCTAACAACCAAGCCACAAACTGCTGTTGAAAATCTGGATTGATTGGAGTCGAAGAAAGAAACGAGCCACACATGCAACAACAAAAAAATAGTTCACAACAGCAAGATTTTATATATCACTTTTTATCAGTCAATGAAAAAAATACATCTACAGAAAATATCTGAAGTATAATTTGTCACATTACATGTATTATCAAATGCAGATTTAATTAGTTCACACCTAAATACATTTTTATATATAATATACACCCCGAGCGTAGATGTGGTAACCATGCGGAACAAGATACCGTCCGGGCCCCCAAAAAGCAATATTGGGCTGTGTGGGACATGGCTAGAATCGATTTGTAGCATATCTGATCCACGGTATATGTTTGACACTGATTAATGATTATGATTATAATGTTGCAAACCGCATTGAAACCGCGTGATTTTTTGCCGTTTGCGAGGGGACACAAAAACCACGACGCAAAGCTCGTCATTGCGTCCCTCTCACTTAACCCCTAGATTTCAGTGAAACTCAGAAGGGGTATAATTTGAACACTGCCTTGTTAATTATTATATACACTACAATCGGGTGTAGCTATTTATAAGAAACATTGTTGTCTGTATAGTGTTGTTGGTTCAGTGTGTTTTAGTTATTTATGGATTAAGAATAATCAATTCAGATATTATGACACTACTTTGGAACATTTACACGCTAAAAACGAGATTAACAATGAACAAATAAGATACAATATGCGATGATATTATGGAAATTTGCACGTCATTAAGTGTAAAACACGCTAAAAAAATTATAACGATATTAAGTCAAATTGTGCAATTTTTAAGAAACACCCAAACAACAGCAACACCCTTTTGTTTTTTTATATTATTAAAGCGAAATCTTTATGGAACAAAAGAGCCCACATATGATTTTAAAGGCTATAACTTTATATAGAAGCACCATTATATAGGCTATGACTTATTTCAGTAATCGAAATTGGCACAGACACATAATTCAATATAAAATCGGGCTATATTGACCCAACTAATAAGACCTATTATAAAATTGATCATGTAGTTATGTAGTCACTTGTATTATACGGGGTTGAGATTGGGAAGGGATTTCCATCTGTATTTTCATTGTCTGATCCCATACTGCTGACAGACCTCTGGCTGTCTCATTTCCATTCTGTTGACTCAAATTCATGGCTCCAAATCACATTACAGATTCGCCAAATCTTGTTCATGGTTTAAGCGCACGGAACTGATTGCCATGGATCGATGATTCTGCGAAGTGCTCTTACTATTCGTTTAACAGGCAGCGACCTGATTTACTAAAGGGACGTCACGATAACATAATAGCTGACTTTATAGCCTCTCCCGCAGCTGTTCATTGCGAACTTTATATCAACTACCATCTCTTTAAGAGACATCTTGCAGAAAATGACACACCACATTGCTGATTAGGTCTTAAAGGAGTAAATAACAAACCGAAACAACCGAATATAACCCGATCCCTATTTTGTTGACGAGGTGTCTACGTCCTCAGGAAGAGAGCTTTATTATGCAGGCCTGACATTGATGGGTTGCGGAATGGTCTGTTGTTAGGTCAAGTTGCGTGGTTTCGATCCCACACGTCTTTTACGTGCCAGGAGGTAGGATGGCCTACCTAACCCGCGGTTGTCCTCACATTGCTAAAGACCCCTACAAGCGCACTATAATTGAAATAAGATTGTATATGTTAGTCCCGAAATGACATAGTTTGTGCTGAGAGTGGACCCCACCCCACCCCTCTCTGTCTCTAATAAGAAGAATTGTCTTTTAAGACCGTTTCGGTTAGTTCGAGACTTCCTGACTTCGAATAATGGGATAATTTCAGTCGTGTACTGGTTAAGGGACATAGTCTTCAGGTCTGGCCAGCTTCTGCATATGTGCTACCTTTCTTCAGAGGATCACTGAAATTGACCGTTTTACACGCAATGATAAACGACTTGTAGGATCTATCATTGATTCCATTCATTAAAATCTCAGTGTATTGATCTGGGCTTATCAGAAAACACGCGTTTTATGAAGAGTGGTAAAATATGGCGTCATCAGTACCAAGCAAGTGCCCAAACAACGCTAGAGGAATCAATGATCAAGGCCTTTAAAGTCTCCACATAATATCTGATACCCAAAAGCAGTATATGTATTTCAGACCATCCCATATGTTTCTAACTTGTTTTGCTGGAAGATATTACGCTTGTCTTTTGTTTACACTTGAAAGACGGACTTTCGAAATATGCCAAATGTTTAATAATATTGACAACATAACATTTTCTGAAGGTCAGAAATAGCCCGGTAATATCTTTTACAGATTAGTCTCAATTTAGCATGTAGACAATGCATTGGATTATTAGCTGACAAAGTTGGTTGTTGTATGGATGTGGGTTTGAACCCTGATGTGGGCTCCGAAGAAACTTGAGGTTTTTCATTCCCCTTTCACACTTGCCACAAATAGCGCACGCGGGGCAATCGGCAAACCTCGGCAGATTCCGGTACTCTACATCTAGCCTCGGCTGTATCACAGTAAGTGATATGTACCTACGCCTATACATTTGCGATGCGGCACCGTTTGACTTATAAGGGAAACTTGCCCGCGTTTAGAAAGAAGTTCTCAAAATTGCGTCGTTCGAAGAGTGTGTAGAATTTTCAGTGCAAATTTGTCCTTGTGTAAAGAAAATCGGATAAACTTGAAACTTTGAAAATTTTGTAAGATAAAACAATATTCAAATACGTCGTCATCAATGACGTTATTGGTCGTCATGGACAACGCCATTGTAATCCGGGAACTTGAAAGTAGTTCTAATGGCGGACTTTGTCAAACAGCCGAGATTAGATGTAAGGTACTGGAATCTGTTGAGGTTTGCCGAGTGGCACGCGGGGCTGATAAGTAAAATGTTGCATATTCGTTTGGATGGAAGGGGTCCGCTATTGTTCACTTTGGCGTGTATACAAGTTGGAATGCCTAGAAGAATAAATAGAAATGCCGCTGCGGGCAAAACTCACCTCCAGTATTCCACACATTAATCTCCATTAGCTATTGTGTATTTTTTTTACCATACAGTACATGTATCTCGCGAAAAGAAGCCCCTACAACATGCAACATAAATTTGTGTTGTAGCAAAAATTAAAGATTTCTGCGTATTAGTAGCCTATCTCTTTAAGTAGGCTATGTATGCGCCAAGACAAACGAACATTTTTTTTTATGTTACCCTCGCAAGTTACTCATACAATTCCAGTCTTTATCATTGTTAAAATCACATCAAATATACACCTTCGTGTTCTAGAATACACATAGATTCATAAAAACGTTATGGCACAACATTTCAGCGTCTAAAAGTAGCAAAAGATACGGTAAAAAAGACGACGTTGTTATACGGACCTTTTCCGTATGAAAGCTGTTTGATACGTGCTGCCGTATCACGTATGAGAAATACACACGCAATGATGACGTGACACGCAAAATCAATACGGATACGCGATAGGGACCAGGGCCCTTATTCACGAAAACTTAAACTAAGATAAAATCGAAATTT